TGCTGCGTTCAGCTTCAACCCATACTCCCTGAGAGTGGAGAAGGTATCCGCCAAGTCTGTAAGATGATCACCACTCCGTTTGCTTTTCACCAGCATGTCGTCTATGTAGACCTCCATGGTGTTGCCGATCTGCCTTTTGAACATCCGATTCATCAATCTTTGGTATGTTGCCCCGGCGTTCTTCAATCCAAACGGCATCACTTTATAACAATAAACTCCCTTCGGAGTGATAAATGCCGTCTTTTCTTGATCCGGGGCATAGAGAGGGATCTGATGATATCCTGCTCGGGCATCCAGGAAGTCCATCCGTTCATATCCGGCTGTGGCATCTACCAGCTGGTCCACCTTCGGCAGGGGGTAGTCATCCTTGGGACAGGCCTTGTTTAGATCTGTGAAATCCACGCAGACACGCATTTCCCCCCTTTCTTCTTTGCACACACTGTATTGGACAGCCATTCTGGGAACTGTATCTCTCGAATGGCATCGGCTCTTAGGAGTTTGTCTATTTCCTCATTGACCGCGTTAGTGTGATGCGGGGCCATACGTCGCGGCCTCTGCTTTACTGGCTTGTGAGATGGGTCAACATGAAGCCTGTGAGTAATGATCTCAGGGTCTACTCCTGTCATTTCCATTTCGTTCCAGGCGAACACGTCCGTATTTCCCCTTAAGAACCTGATCATCTCCTCCTGTTCGGGCTGCGGGCTAGGAAATACTTCTCTTCTTCTCCTTCAACCAAGGGCACCTTCCGGAGGTCTTCAACCGATCGTTCAGCTGGGTCTACCCGGGGGTCATCCATCCCCGGACGCCCGGACTGTAATTGCTATTTTTCTATGATCTCTTCCGGTGCTCGCCCCTTCTCCTGGCTGGACGCCCCGGCTCGGACGGCCGAATAAAAACAGTTTTTCGCAGACGCTTGATCCCCCGGATCTCCATGACGCCCTCTGGCGTGGCGAACTTCAACTTCTGGTGGAGAGTGGAGTGTACCGCTCCCAACGCGTGTAGCCATGTTCGCCCCATAATCACGTTGTAAGGGGAGTCCGTGTCGATCACCACAAACTCTGTGTCGATGACGAAGGGACCAGTGGCGACCGGTAATGTAATTTTCCCCACGGGCAAGGCGAAAGAGCCGTTGAACCCGATGAGGGGTGTCCTGATTTTGGTTAAGTCTTTGGGGCCAAAGCCCATCCGCTTCAAAGTCTCGAAGTACATCACCTCCGAGGAGCTCCCTGAATCTATCAAAATTCTCTTGACATCGAATTTCCCTATCTTTAGGGTCAAGACAAGGGCGTCGTTATGAGGAATCACCACGCCTGTCAAATCCGCGTCAGAGAACGTAATGCCAAGCTCACCCATCCTGGCCCTTTTACTTGATGGCCCCACATCTCCTTCGGCTACCTTTCTGGTAAAAGCTACCCTCTTGAGGTCGGATTCGAGCTCTTTGGACGTGGGGCGCTCCAGTGGACACACATGGATGACGTCTATGACGTTGGTCGGTTCCTCGGTCGGGGCAGGGGCTCGTTTTTCTTCTGGCCTAGGCTCTATGTATTCCTTCAGGTATCCATCTCGGACTAAGCTCTCCAAGAATGACTTGAACACCCTGCAGCTCTCGGTGCGATGCCCGACATCCCGGTGATATGAACACCTTACTGTTTGATCACGGGTGGAGGGGTCGCTTTGCATCCTGGGCGGCCATTTGAAGAACGGCTCGCGTTTGATTTTATGGAGCAACCTGAAGATGGGTTCCTTGAAGACGGTGTGAACTCCTCTGGACGAACCCCCTGGACGGGGTAGCAATCCCTTCGGGGAATATCTTCGTGCTCTTTTTCCTTCTCTTGGGTTGGAGGGCTCGGCCTTTGTTGCTCCCCATCTCGTCCTCGACCCTTGAGTACTTGTTGATCCGGGCCATCAGTTCCCCCATATCCGAGGGAGTCTTTTTGGTCAGGGATCGGTACAGGTCCGTGTCCCTCGCCAAGCCGAGCCGGAATGATGCTGCTGCCATGACCTCCGAGCATCCCTCGACCTCATTGACTTCTTCCCAGTATCGGATGGCGTACTGGCGAAGAGTCTCGGATTCCCTCCTCCTGAGGGTCAGCAGTGATCCAATGTCCTTGGGCGCTTACTCCCCGTGATGAATCGGGTTAGGAACTGCCTCGTCAATTCTTTCCAGGACCCAATACTGTTTGGGGGAAGCGCCTCGAACCACCTCATCGCAGAGTCCCCCAAGCTCATAGGGAACACCCGGCATAGAAACCGTTGGTCCGAATGATAGAGGGACATCATCTGCTTATATTGTCTGATATGGGCATCGGGATCAGATCGCCCATCATAGGTCTTGAACCGTGGCACGACGAACTTTCTTGAGACATCCATCTCACTGATTTCCCTCGTGAAGGGTGTTTGCATGACTTCGTCCTCGGCCTCGTCCTGGATCGTCTTACCCTTTCTTCTGGAGTCCAATCGGGCTCTGAGATCTACTTCTTCCCTTACGGGATGCCTCCTGAAGTCTCTGGGTTCGTCGGTAAGCCCCTCGTTTCCTGGGCGTCGTGTAGATTGGGTTGAGTCCTCCTCGGATTCATCTCCCTTCCTCCGTCTGGATAAACCTCGCCGGAGGTCGTCCAGGGCCAATGGCCTTGCTTTCCTGGAATGGTTGTCAAGATGGCATTCGCCGGCTTTGGGTCGCTTCGGGGCCCTGGAGCTTTCTGCTTTGTGATCCAGGTGGTTCCTTAGATCCTTTGTCTCCGCCTCATGGACGGGGAGTCCTCGGGAGAGGAATGAATCCCTCGACCCTCCGCCTGAGGCAGCAAACTCGTCGAGCCGGCTAAGGACGTTTACATTGTCTTTCTCCAGCTGACGTAATCTATCGCCAAATTTCTCTTCAATCACCTCTGCCAGCTGACGGGCCAAGGGGGCTGATCCTCCTGACCTGATCCCCATACTGGTTTGAGGGGTTACCCCCCTTGACCGAGTAGAGGCACTTTTAATCGTACTGGTCCGATCCCTCCCCCCGTGATGGCAGGGAGCTTGCAACTCATGACTCCTTTGGTAGGGTCCCTTCCCTTTCTGTCTGGTGTTCACCATGGTCACTGTTCTTTATAGAGAAAAGATTAGGAAAACTACTCGTTTCCCACAGACGGCGCCAGATTGTGCGGGCTCGATCCTGCACGATATATAAAATATTGGGAACAGATCTCTCCCCTGGTGAACTCTGAGTGAGCCGGTTGAGTGGCCAAACACGCTGCTTGAAACAACCTTCGAGGCACGGTGGCAACCTGGAACGGCAAAGGAAGGCCTTGGGAAAGGAAGAACGATCCTGTACGTGTGGAAGGTATTTCCTGGAACAAAGGAGAACAAGTTAGAAGGGCGCCGGAGTGTTTTCCGGCGTATCCCCTCCGACGATCTAGTCAGTCTTTGAATGAGAGAGAGGAAGGAGAAAACACTGAGAAGGATGTTTTTTAGTAGAGAGTTTGTGATTGCATACCCGCTTTGTCTTTTGGGAGGGGTATTTATACCTTAGAAGATCATGATTGCTGTCAGTGTGGTCAGTAGGTGATCATCAGGCACAGGTAGCGTGTGTAATCATTTGATGAGGAATGTCTTCTCTAATTGACTGCTCGGGGTCCCGAGCAATCAATGGTGAGTTGTCGGGACGCCGACGGTACAATATGCTCCTTTCGGGAAGGATGCAATAAATGCTCTGTAATAGGAGCATTTATTGCCTTTCATATCCGAACCTTACCGCATTGAATGCGGTCTCGTCAACAGAAGGGTGCAATTAATTATTTGCTTTCCCAAGTCACGTGCCAGCTACGGCATGCGGTTTGTCTGCTTCTGATGTGACATTATTTGCCACGCGTCCGTCCCTTATTGGCTGTGACGTCGGTATTCCAGAACGTTCTGACATTACTTGTGTAAGACGAGGTCATGATGAATAGTCCAGACTGGCATAGGCTGATGTCCAGTACGTCAGTAGCTTTATCCGGGAGTAGAGGAAGCGTCCAGCATGGAGTGACCCTCGGCACCGAGGAAAGGCTTACCTCGGGGACCGAGGGTGGTATGTTTCCGAGGTACACGTGTGACCGAGGACACGTGTTTGTTGTATAATATACCGAATGTGTAATCCTATATGAGAGGTACCTCGGGATAAAGGACGCTCTTCGCCGATGGTGCTTACATCCGGGCAACACTGTTCCAAATACCCCGAGGACACGTGTCTTCATCTTAGGGCTTTTCAGAAGAGTCCCATCAGAAGAGAAGGATTTTTGTGAGAGAGAGAAGAAAAAAAAGAAAAAAAGGATAAATAATTATAAAATACCAAAAATGTCCCTTAATACCCACATGTACCAAGCAAATGATATTTTTCGGTCTATTATTTAGACGATAGTTAAAGATAAGAATCAAAGTGAGTCGATGTATGAACATTGAGAACAAAATTGACAATATTAAAAGTTTAGAAACAAAAGGGCAATAAATGACAAACTTCATTGACTATTGGTGCAATTGACCCTATAAAAAATGATTGATTTTTATTGTCACTTTTCGTTGTGCTTCAGATGAGCGACGATGTTCTTACTCCACAAAATTTGCTACGGACTCATTCCACCTAGAGTATATATTAACTGGTATTAGAAAATTATGTTGGGGGATGAAATTCTTATAAGACTGGTTATCTGAAAATGGACTCTGCTATCTGAATTGTGATGGACAACTTTGATCCGTTCGTCAACCCAAATTGCTTGAATCTAATTGAAGACTTCCTGCTACAAGTGTACAAATTTAGCTTATCAACATAAACCAGAGAAAGACAACATATATAGATGACCAGCTTTATGGTTATCCATGGTGAAAATTCCAGGAAACAACGTAGTAAACAGTTAAAAGTTCACAAATGAGGGAGGAACATAACAACAAACAATCTTAACACAGCGATGTTCCTGCTCTTTTATTCGGAAAAAAACGAAGAAGAAGAAGAAGAAGAAAAGTATCCAGCGTTTTACCAATGCTCATAGCCCTGCGAGGACACTAATCATCCTTTCACGTGCTCTGCACATCGTCTCTAATGGCTTAGCTTTAGGCATTATGAGTCCTGTCCCTTCAGACATGTCCTCCAACTCTTCACTCACTCTCTCCCACTCAAAGCACTGAATCAATGCCCCCAAAGCCAATCCCACCACTCGATTGGCTAGGCCAGCCCCGGGGCAACTTCTACGCCCCAACCCAAATGGTATCAGCATGTGTGCCTCACCTTCCCCGTCTTCATCTTCGAACCTCTCTGGCCGGAAATTTTGAGGATCACCCCATACCTGAGGGTCCTTGTGAATGGCCCATGCATTCACCAGCAGCATGGTGTTACGTGGAATGAAATACCCTCCAATGGTGGAGTCAGCTGAGGACTCATGTGGTGATAGGAGTGGTACTGGTGGAAACATTCTAAGTGTCTCATTGACAATGCTTTGGAGATAGGGAAGCTTTGAAAGATCTGGCTCGTCTATTAAACGATCTTGGCTTGCATAGTTGTCGAGCTCGAATCGAGCCTTCTTCAACACATCAGGATGGTTGAGTAGAAGCGACATAGCCCATTCTATTGTCACTGCCGAAGTGTCTGTGCCCGCAGTTAGCAGTATCTACACACATTGGATAGGGAATGAGTTGCTTGCATAGGAACAGAGCAGAAACTTTGTATCAAAAAGATCACCCGTAGGAAGACATTTTTAATTAACTTAATTAGTACATGAAGACATTAATTTCATGTACTAATTAAGCGTCATTTTTAACATTAACCCGACTCATTTATTATTCGTGCTAATGAATCGTGTCGTGTAATAAATAAAGTTAACAGCCCTAGTGTTATCTATAGAGACTTACCAATATGATGCCTTTGATGATATCGTCAGAGTAGAATTCAGGTTCCGAGTCTTGTAAAGACAGCATATTATCGATCATTGTATTAGTCCTTCCTTCTTGTGAGTAAGAAAGTCCCTGTTTATTCTGGTGTTCATCAATTAAACCCTGTAAGAACACATCAGCTTTTCTCCTCAATTTCAGCATCCTCTTCTCCAACCCCTGATAATCTATCCACTGCAAAATTGGAAGGAAGTCCCCGGGATTCGACGCCCCACTTAGATCGAAAATCTCCCTTATAATATCCCGAAATAGCCTAGCCTCTTCATAATCCTTCACATCCACTCCAAAATATCTCTTCCCTGCAACCATCCTCATAATGATGTTAAATGCAAGCTCTGATAGCCTTGACTTCATCTCCACTTTAACACAATTTTCGCCCGAGGCTTGGTACAGACTCTTGAGTAACAGTTTGATTTCTGCTTGCCTGATTGACAAATACATGTTCAGGCGGGTCGTTGAGAAGATCTCAAGAGTCGTGAACCGTCGAAGGTTTCGCCATAGGTGACCATAAGGTGCTGCACCTATTGTGGTATAGTCGTAGTTGAGGTGCTTGCCCACAAGAAGGCGAGGCCTGTTTGCGAAGATAACATCATTGTTGGTGAAACATTCTTGAACAGTAGATGGAGAAGATAAGACTACCACAAAACGGGTTCCCAATTGGAGAGAGAAGATTGGACCATGTTTATAAGAAAGATGTTGTAATGTTTGATGCAATGGTTCTTTCATTAGATGAAGATGACCTATTATTGGAAATGAAGGAGGGTTTGGTGGTAGATTTTTGTGTGTTTGTTTGTGTAGAAAGAGCTTTGAGAGGACAAGGAGCAAGAGAAAAGGTAACAGAGAAATGATGTAAAACCAGATTTGTTCCATGACTGTCTGTTTCAAGGAAAGTTGAAGGGTATGCTTGAGTGCATTATGAGAGGTTGATGTTTACTTGTATTATATATAGAAGCATGATAGGTGAGGACGAAGCTACAGAATAGTAGTTTGTAATAATTGTTTAGTTGTTTTGGGTAGCTTTCGTATTCAGCAAGAAATATTTGGGCGAATTTGGGATATTAAGATCTTTTTGGCCCATATTGTGAAAAATTACGTATTTATCAGCATATTTGTGCTGGAAATTTTCCTTGCTTCCCAAGGCTATGGTTCAAGTGGCATTGTTTGACTGTAACATAACACTATAGCAGGAGGCATTGTTTGACTGTTATACTGACCGAGGGTTGAGAAAATTTAAGTCTGTTTAGCACGCGACATATGTTGCGTCTGGGATTGATAATCGAGTCTGTTTTGTTCATATTTTTAAACGGAATCAAAAAATTATTTAAATTCAGCTTGTTTATAAAATGAATTGAATCTGAATAACTCGAATATCTCACATATAAAATAGTCAAGTTTTATGAGCTCAAGTCCAGCTTTTTAAGTTTATTTAGTTTGAGTCGAATCTTTTGAGCTTAGTTTTTTAAATTATTCTAAAAAATTATTCAAGTTTAGAACACAAGCTCAAGTCGAATCCGAACTGAGGCCGAATAATTTGGCCCTAGTCATGTGGTGTACATTGTCTATAAAATATTTGTACAATTCAATCAATTATTGTCGCTCGTAAAAAGTTATTAAATTTTTTTAATTTTAAAAAAAAAATCAGTATGTATTTGACAAAGCTAGTGTCACCAAGCAACCACTAAACACGGAATATTTTTCCCTAATAAATTTTTTTTTGGTTCAATGGATATGGGTGTTCGAATTAACTTACACGCACTTTGATTAATTCCTTTATCAGTCCAGTCAAATTCAAATCATCCACGTCTGGAGTAGAATATTCATGAGGAATAAATTCCTCATGACCTAGCCCCAAAGAGTTACTAAAATTTAAATTTAAAATATCTGGGTTTACATTTTGTGCGTGCAGGATCTTACACAATATAAATAACAGAACAGATCTCTCCCGTGGTGAACTCGAGTTAGTCAATCAAATGGTCAGCCTTGCCATTTGGAACAAACTGAGATCCGTTGATGGCCCGGAACGGTAATGGGTGGCTTTCGTGGATCAACGGAGCGGTCTAGTAAGGCAAAGAGAGGTTCCTGGAAAAGAGAAAGACAGGTTAGAAGGGCGCCGGAGTATTTTTCGGCGTATCCTCTCCGATGATCAAATTAGTTTTTGAGAGATAGGAAGAAAAAAACACTGAGTATAGGTTTTAGCAAAAGTTTTCTGTTGCATACCGTCTTGCCTTTTGCGAGGAATATTTATACCTTAAAAACTCATTATTGTTGTCAGTGTGGTCAGTAGGTGATCATTAAATATAAGCAATGTGTGCACGGTTTCCTATGAGGAATGTCTTCTCTCTTAACTGCTCGGGACCCCGAGCGATCAATGCAGCGTCATCGGTCTGCCAAATGTTTAATGAGCTCCTCTCGGCAAGAGTGCAATAAATGTCCAGTATCAGGGACATTTATTACCTTTCTCTTCCGAGCCTTACTGCATTAAATGCTGTCTCATCAAAGGAATGAACTAATTAAATGTTTGCTTTCCCAAGTTGTGTGTCAGCAAGGACATCTTGTACTTTTGTCTCTGATGTGACACAATACGCCACGTGCCCTTTCCCCATTAGCTGCGTCTTCTGCCTTTCTGTGCTTTCTAACACCAATTGTGTAAGACGAGGTTATGGTGGTTAACCTAGTCTAGCCTAGGCTAGTGATTTGTACATCAATAGCCCCTGCGAAAACAGAGAGTGCCATCCTGGACGAGTACACCTCAGAACCGAGGGGGAGGTACATATTGGAGCCGAGGGGGAGGTACATCTCGGAGCCGAGAGGGGAGGTACATATAGCGACCGATGTACCCATATCAGACCGTGGAATACGTGTCGGTACGTAAAACGTACTAGATGCCACTTGATCCCTATGACAAGTATCTCGGGAGAGAGGGACTTATGAACTGATGGGTACGTGATCTCCGTAACAAGGATTTAGTGACACCGAGAACACGTGTCTTCATCTTGGAGTATTTCGGAAATGTCCCATCAACTGCCCCTCAACCTTCGATCTTCTGACACCGAGGACATGTGTCGTAAGGAGACGAAGGGTTCTACAACAACCCCAACCGCTTCATCATTGCCTCTAGTCATTTTTCCCTGCTTAGAATGTTGTGCACATTAAATGCGCCTTTTCGTGCTTCGCGCCCAATGATGGGATTGGTACTATATATAAATGGACTTCCTCTCCTCTTTTCTCATTCTGAACTTTCTCCAGAGAGCCCTTGCCTGAATCTTCGCCAGAGATCTCTTTCCTTCCGTTGTCAACTACCCAACCTTTTCACTAGAGTCTTAAGGCCAGCAGACTCATCCTTGCTTCTGAACATTCTGGAAGGAGTCGCTTCAAGTTTTCCAGAAAAAACTCATTTTTTTACATTCTGGTGAGTCCCAGTATCTTTCTTCTCTTCGTCCTTCTGTCTCTTTTGGTTTTTCGATAACTGGAGGTGTCTCTGGTTGCCACTCAGCAACCAATCCTTAGGAAGCCTCCTTGGGGATCTTTGAGGGAAAAACACCCTCCTTCACTTTTATCACTTTTTGGAGATGCCTCATCGTCGCCCTGCTCCCGAGAATCCTCAGGCCAGTTCTTCGGGGTCAGGGAAGTATAAAGTAAAGGGTGGTGAGCAAATTAATAGGTTTAGGGTCAAGTATAGCATCCCCCTGTATGTAGACATAGAGGATTATAACCCGGCTGTGCATCCTCGTACCCTCAGGACCGAGGATGCGATGCCCTTTTATACCAAAGCCATCATAGAGGGCGGAATTAGGTTCTCTCTACCCCATCTACTCCTCCAGTTCCTCTCCCATTTCCACCTCTTCCCGGGTAGTGTTGCCTTAATGTCTTCAGGATAATTATAGGGGTCCTAAAGCTCAATAGGCATTTCAGGATAAATGTTGGGTTGAACGATATCCTTTTTTGTTATTCCATCTTGAGAGTTATGCCTCAATAACACTTCTACCTCAAAGCCAAGAACTCATCTATGTACCTCGTAACTCACCTTTCCGACTCGAACAAAGGATACAAGGATGACCTACTTATCTTCAAGAGATCTTGGCAGAGAGGTGCCAGTCCCGAGTATAACGACTTGTTATGCCCTTTGGAATGGAGAACAACAAGTACGTCGATTCCTTCGGGTTTATTATTTTATTATTGAGATTTTCTACGAGTGTTCATAACTCCTTCTCCTCTCTTTTTGTTTGTGTGTAGACGTCCCTACTCGGGAAATAGCTCCTCCCCCTCGGTCCTTGGTGAACTTTGTCGACCTAGTCACTGTTTGGAGATTTACTGGTGACGACGGGTTCGGTCGGGCTGCCCACATCCTCCTATATTATACTCCCGGATATAAAAATTTTCACAGCTTCCCAGTCTTTCGAGCCTTCACGGTGGTCTGAACTCTTGATAGGCGGTGAGGCAAGAGGACGAGGAGAACTTGGAGGAAGACCCTGACCGGGCTACTGAGGCAGAAGTTGAAGAGCTCGGGGTCAGAGAGGACTTGGTTCCTTCGCACGCCGAGGTGGGGACTTCGGAGAGAGATTCGTGGCCTAACTTCCAAATTCTGCAATCACTAGACGCCGAGGACACCCTCGAGATAGCTATGTCTAGCACGCCCCGCATTGATCTAGGATTCCTGAGGTAGAGGCAAGCCCTTATTGTCGGGAGGGACGAGGATCGACCGGTGGGGCCTCATCTGTAGGGACCAGCGTCACCCCATCTTCAAGAGCCGTCGGTCGGGGTCAAGTGCGTGACCGGAATCCTCAGGTAGAAGAGGGTCAAACATAGGCATGACGGCCTTGGCAGGGGATCCAGGGCCCCCTCCGCTCAGCAGCAAAGTGGGAGAGGCCGTGGGTTACCTCCTGCTCCCCAGCAGCAACAGCAGACTCCTCCTCCCCATTTACAGACAGTGGAAGCCGCGGAGTGGAATCCTTGAGCCACTGATCACATAAACCGAGTGATCAGGGTCGACGACTCCATTTTGCAGGACCCCCATGTCGCCAATGTAGTGAGTGAGACGCTGCATTTCGAGGCCGACATGGTGGCTCACAGGGGGGCGATCAACGAACGTGTTGTTTCGCTCTATCATCCAGAATTCCCTGGTGGTAAGTTCATATTTGCTTCAGTCTTTTTTAGCCGCTTTTCTTTTTAGTGACATGCCCTTTCTTTTGCAGGCCACCCAACAGATTTCTATAATAGCGACGCGGTATCATGAGGCTAGAATGGACCTTCAGAGGGCTCGAAAGCAGAAGGAAGAAGTCGAGAGAGCCCTCGCCAGTGCTAAGGAGGATGTAGCTGCCAGGGATTCCACCCTTGCGGGGCAGGCTGCTCAAATCGAACAACTCCTCAAGGATGCCAAGTTGGCGAAGGTCGGCGCTGAAAAGCTAAGTGCTGCCTTGGCCGATGCTGAGAGGAAGATCACAGAGCAGACGCAGCGGCTCTCCGCGATAGAGGAGAGGGCTGTTGGTTCAGAGGAAAGCTGTCTGGTTCTGACCCAGGAGCTGGACAGGATCAGGGCTGAGGTAGAGAGCAGGAAGTCCAAAGAACAACTCCGAGAGGAATTCGTCGATGACGTACTGTCTGCTCTTGAGGAAAATAGCAGAGAGTTCTTCAAGAGGGGATGGGACGAGGCGCTCCGATCCGTCGGGGTCCCTCCAGACTCATCGCTCTTCCAGATGCACAACTATGTGCAATCGGTTGAGATGGAA